CACCACCCACTGCCAACTCTTGGGCTACTCTTTTTACCAACGAATATTGGGATTGACCGTCACATTATAATGCCCCATGGCTGTAAGGGCGAGCATTTTTGGTGTGATGGGGATTCGAACCCGCGACCCGCAGATTGCAAGTCGAGCGCTCTAACCACCTGGCCATGCCGGGCCCTCACATACTGACAAATAAGTAAAGGATTCGACAAGGTGGCACTGACAGCAAATGTATATACACTGTTAAGAAATTAGAGCATTAAATGGTAATGAATAGAAGCTATGAATGTTTGAGATTCTTGTTTACCTTTGAATGGTTTCCATCAGCGAAGAACTTGGCTTTAGTTCTGCCAACTCCTGTACCTATTGGAGGAGCAGAGAATACGTCATAGATCCCATCATCACCTTGAGCAAATTCATCCAATATGTCCGACTTCCCTCTTTCTGCAAACTCTTTGAGACCCTCAGTAGACAGGTCTCCAAATCTCCATACTTTGTAGCTATCGTTATGAGTGCGCCCTACATGTTAACATACAATTGGAATGCTCGTTGTAAGAATGGCGCATGTATGGCAGTAAATTCGATAGAAGTATATATAAGTTTCAATTTATACAATTAAAAAACAAGTAAAAAAGATTACATCATAAGTTAGAATAGCGTGCATTTAACACATCATATCCAAACCTTAGATGAAAAATATTAATTGTAATATTACCTAGAACATGAATGAAAAATAAATGAAAAAAGAAACAACGCAGCTACAAAACGACATGTATCACCTCTAAACACACACATCATAAGGTGGGTAGTAATGCAATGTGCCCTGGTTTTTGAGATACTGGCGGAAGTAAGACCCAAACTGCGTTGGGGTACACCGTCTATCCAGTTTAACATCAGTTTCGCAGGCCTCACACTCTTAATAATAATAGTAATAAAAGAGAGAGCAGATGTGGGTGATGTAACCCACAACATCCCACATCTTTATCACCTTTCACTGTCTTTTTGTAGCCAGATGTGAGAAGATGGCTGACTAAAAAACAACAACTAAAACAAAGAAATAATTGGAATACATTGGGTAGACAGTAAAACTGTCCTTGAAGTTGGCATTCCAGCCTCTATACTGATGTTTGGACATAAATATCACGATGTTAAGGTGTTAGTATAGCTCCCATTCTCCACCAATCCATGCTACTGTCAAGATCTTCAAAGGTTCTATAAGAATGACATAGTAGCAGGTCTTATATAGGAAAAGTGATACATCTACATTAATACACCTATACAAGATACAGTCCAAATAAGTAATTCCAATAATTTTTCCTACAAAAATTATAAATTATTACTTATTGTGTTTATTATGATTTTGTTTATACTATCAATTTTATTTTGCATATTTATTACAAAATAATTTAAAATATTTAATTAGAGTTATCATATTAACTCCATTATAAGTTAATTTATTCACTAATATATTAATGTTGTAAATTAAGAGCTGTTTATTGTTACAAATTCTACAATACCTGAGTAGCTGTGAATGCATGATGGCATTATTTGGTATATTACTGTTTGGTGAGGGAAGTCCAAAAATTTGAGATATAAAATCATTTCTTTTATCATAAATATTAATATTACAATAATTATTAATCATCTTAACATCTAAATATAAATAATATACTTCAGTATTTGATAGTGAGGTGTTTTCAATTTGTAGAATTATAGAATAAATATTACTGATATAATTACTTATTAATGGATTATTGATCATCGATATATCTACAAGTTAGAGAAAATTATTTATAAATTTATTTTCATAATAGTAAAGACATAAGTTAGCGACATTGTTTGAATAATTAGCACCCATTGGTATACCTACTATTTGTTTATAAATATGTTTATCTAAATGAATATTGTTATCGTATATGCAAAAATTGAACATATTCTTGAAATTGTTAGCAGTAAAAGTTTTTATTTTTATTCTTATAGGTAGATCTATACATTGATCTATCAATGAATTAATCGCCATTACCAAATCATTAAGTTTGTTTGTTTGGAATCAAGCACAAAGCTACACAATGGGGACTATCCGTGCTCTGCCCACAACGGGTATTGAAACCCGGTTTCTAGCATTGTAAGTCCACAGACATATCTGCTAATTGTTTTTTTATTTAAATTTTCTAACGTTTTTAAGATAGGTTCATTATTTTTGATTATCCAGAAATATATATATTATATACACACAGCGTGGTCACAAGTCAAAAGACACCACCTTTTCAGAAAAAAATAACTTTTTCAGTCATATTCACATGAATTGATATATTTAGAATTTAATTAATATCTAGTAGATCTTCCTTTCCCTTCGTGGAGTTCGTTGATCCTTTCGGGTATCGTGAGAATCATCTCGT